GTTATGATGTCATAGGCATTGTCGGTGTCAGGGTGATTGAAGTTATGATGTCATAGGCATTGTCGGTTTCAGGGTGATTGAAGTTATGATGTCATTGGCATTTGTCGGTTTCAGGGTGATTGAAGGTATGATGTCATAGGCATTGTCGGTGTCAGGTGATGTGATGATGTCATAGGCATTTGTCGGTGTCAGGGCGGTTGATGTGATGATGTCATAGATAAGTGACTCAGGAAAGGGTCCCGTGATACCTCGGCGCAGCGTGGGCGGTGCGTCGCAGTGGAATTGCGATTGCCATGAGTTATGTAACACAGAAATATTTGTCACGCTTGCTCTCCTTTCCTCTCATATCCCGCTGGGAGAGTCCCACCATCCATGCCTTGGGCATAGTCGCAGCCATTTTTAATATGATTTTCAGGGGCACAATCATCGAAGCGCGGCGCGCACAGAACGTCCTGGGAGGATGGAGGCGCACCATGGACCAATGATGTGTCTCTCCTACCATGGCAGGTCCGAGGAGCCTCTGATGGCTGTGACTGGGCAAAGCTGGCTGCGGCAACGGGAGCCAATATTTAGGGGGCAGCTAGCTGTCAACAGTCTTGCAATGCCTCTTGGGATTGTGTAGTTCCACAATACCTGGAGTGCGGAGGTTGCCGACCCCTGAAGATCCAGATCAAAGGAGGTGGAGTGTACAGCGTATTATATAGGGGGCTCTCATTTATTCAAGAATTTCCTTTAACATTTATTTTTTTTAGATACGACTTGAACAATTTTCCACACTTCTTCCTTCTGTATTCCATCAATTCATAGATTTGAAGATTAGCCACTAGAGGGAGCTGTCATTGGCTCGGTGCGATTATTGTAACGCTTTCAGTAAGAGCTCATAGTTTATTGTAGCTTTTATCATGTCATTGTTGATATGACCAGGGCCGGGGGAGGGGGGGGGGTACAAACAAGCCCTCCTGTACCGGGCCCAGGACCCATCAGGTCAGCTGGGGGGGCCAGCAGGGGCTGTCTATGGGCATCTCACAGCCAACAACCTCCTAACCCTGGGTTCCCCTTCTTCTCCACTACTTATCCATTACTAAAACCCCCATTATCCCCCCCATGCCTGGCAGGGAACGGTGGCATGGCCCGGCAACAGAGTACTCTGCTGTGAGCCGTCCAGAGGGTGCAATGACAGCCCTACAGAAGGGGCCCCAAGGGCCAGCAGGTAATAACCCCTCTAGATAAAGCTTCATTCTAAATCTCAAAGATGGGAAAGACCCCCTAAAAAAGACTGGTGCAGGAGAGGCAGGGGGTGCAGAATGAAACATATATGGAAGATGCAGGGAGATGCAGAGTAGGGGGGATCTAGAGTGGTTTGTAGTTTAGGGAGGCAGGGGGGGCAGAGTGGGGGGGTAATGGGGACATCTTGCAGGACCCTCATCTTCCTGAGGCCGGCTCAAGCTTCCTTCCCCACATCTTCCTGCGGAGCCCACATCTCGCGAGGGACCGGAGCCTCAGCTCTTCTCCCCCCAACTTCTTCCTTTCCCTCATCTCTCTGCGGTCCTCTTCTTCCTTTCCCGCCTGAGGAAGGCCTTCGCCCTCATCTTCCTTCCCCACATCTTCCTTCCCGGACCTTCCCCTCATCTTCCTTCCCCCAGCTGAGCGCAGGCAACATTATGAGCCCCTCAAATCTCTCTGCGAGCTTCCCCCAGCAGATCCTCTTCCCCCTCATCTCTCTTCCCGGACACTCTCATCCCCGCATCTCTGCGCGCGGACCACCCATTGAGCCTCCCCCCCCCATCTCTCTCCGAGCGGCTCCCCAACATCTCGTCTTCCCCCCATCCATCTCACATCTTCCCCATCTCTCTCCCCCCATATCTCTTCCCCTCATCTCCTCTTCCCCTCATGCTCTCCTTCCCACATCTCTCTTACCCCTCATCTCCCTTCCCCTCATCTCCCTTCCCCCATCAATCTCTCATCCCCTCATCTCTCTTCCCCTCATCTCTCTTCCCCTCATCTCTCTTCCCCTCATCTCTCTTCCCCTCATCTCCCTTCCCCCCATCTCCCTTCCCCCCCATCTCCATTCCCCCCCATCTCACTCTTCCCCCCCATCTCTCTTCCCCCTCATCTTCTTCCCCTCATCTCTCTTTCCCCTCATCTCTCTTCCCCTCATCTCCTTCCCCTCATCTCCCCTTGTCATCTCCCCTTTCCCCTCATCTCCCTTCCCCTCATCTCCCTTCCCCCTCATCTCCCTTCCCCTCATCTCCCTTCCCCTCATCTCCCTTCCCCTCATCTCCCTTCCCCTCATCTCCCTTCCCCCATCTCCCTTCCCCCCCCATCTCCCTTCCCCTCATCTCTCTTCCCCCCCCATCTTCCTTCCCCTCATCTCTCTTCCCCTCATCTTCCTTCCCTCATCTCCCTTCCCCTCATCCATCTCCCTTCCCCCTCATCTTCCTTCCCCTCATCTCCTTCCCCAATCTCCCTTCCCCTCATCTCTCTTCCCCTCTTCTTCCTTTCCCTCATCTCTCATCTCCTCATCTCCTTCCCCTCATCTCTCTTCCAATCATCTTCCCTCATCTTCCTTCCCCCTCATCTCTCTTCCCCTCATCTTCCTTCCCCTCATCTCTCTCCCCTCATCTTCCTTCCCCTCATCTCTCTCTTCCCCTCATCTTCCTTCCCCTCATCTCTCTTCCCCTCATCTACCTTCCCCTCATCTTCTTCTCTTCTCCTTCCCCTCATCTCTCTTCCCCTCATCTTCCTTCCCTCATCTCTCTCCCCTCTTCTCCCTTCCCCTCATCTTCCTTCCCCTCATCTCCCTTCCCTCCTCATCTCTCTTCCCCTCATCTCTCTTCCCCTCATCTTCCTTCCCCTCATCTCTCTTCCCCTCATCTCTCTTCCCCTCATCTTCCTTCCCTCATCTCTCTTCCCCTCATCTTCCTTCCCCTCATCTCTCTTCCCCTCATCTTCCTTCCCCTCATCTCTCTCCCCCTCTTCTCCCTTCCCCTCATCTTCCTTCCCCTCATCTTCCTTCCCCTCATCTCTCTTCCCCTCATCATTCCTTCCCCTCATCTCTCTCCCCTTCCCCTGACAATAATGAATGTAGATGATGGTTGGTGTGGCTCCCGGAACGTTGTCAGTATTTTGATCCTCCTGCCCGGTGCGTTCTCCTGGTAACATCATATACATAGAATTTGGCGGCCTTATGGAGGAAACGACAAATTTCTCTCCCATAGAATGTAGAAAGAGAACAGCAGATCCTAAAACACCCCCCCCCCCCCCCCATCTCATTCCTCCCCCCAGCCCGCCATCGTTTATGAATTTTCCCTTCCATTAAAGCCTACGCAGAATGCGTCCCATCACCCGCCTGAAGCGCGTCGAGCTGAAATCCCTCTGACAGGGAAGGCGCTCCGGCATCTTTGATCGGCTTTTACAGTCATAATCAGCTCCTTGATGTCATCACAGGTTTGGTATTCCGAGGAGCGTCCGCGTTCGTTTTCTCTCTCTCCGTAAAGTGAATCCATTACCTTTCCAAACGTGCGACCGATCCTGAGAAAAACAAGCGAAGTTCCAGCGAGGTTCAACAGCGGAACCTCTGAAATGAAAGACTCCCTGAAAATGAGGACCTAGGGAAGGGGAACCCCTCTCTGCTCCAAAATTCACATCCGCTTATTATACCATGAGGGGGGGGGGGCGGCTTCACGGATGAGACCACAGGGAAATCTCCCCATTATGGGAGGGGCTGAGACAACTACTGCAGAGGAATCTCCCCTTTGTGGGAGGGGCAGAGACACAAACTACTTGCGGAAATCTCCCCTTTGTGGGAGGGGCTGAGACCCAAACTACTTGCGGAAATCTCCCCCATTGTAGGAGGGGCATAAACACAAACTACTGCGGGAAATCTCCCTGTTGTGGGAGGGGCAGAGACACAAACTACTGGGAGGAATCTCCCCATTGTGGGAGGGGCATAAACACAAACTACTGCGGGTAATCTCCCTGTTGTGGGAGGGGCAGAGACACAAACTACTGGGGGGAATCTCCCCATTGTGGGAGGGGCAGAGACACAAACTACTGGCGGAAATCTCCCCATTGTGGGAGGGGCAGAGACACAAACTACTACAGGGAAATATTCCCATTGTGGGAGGGGCATAAACACAAACTACTGCGGAAAATCTCCCTGTTGTGGGAGGGGCAGAGACACAAAACTACTGGGAGGAATCTCCCCATTGTGGGAGGGGCAGAGACACAAACTACTGGGGGAAATCTCCCCATTGTGGGAGGGGCAGAGACACAAAACTACTGTGGGAAATCTCCCCATTGTGGGAGGGGCAGAGACACAAACTACTGTGGGAAATCTCCCCATTGTGGGAGGGGCAGAGACACAAACTACTGTGGGAAATCTCACCATTGTGGGAGGGGCAGAGACACAAACTACTGGGGGAAATCTCCCCATTGTGGGAGGGGCAGAGACACAAACTACTACAGGGAAATCTACCCATTGTGGGAGGGGCAGAGACTCAAACTACTGGGAGGAATCTCCCTATTATGGGAGGGGCAGAAACACAAACTACTACAGAAATCTCCCCATTGTGGGAGGGGCAGAGACACAAACTACTACAGAAATCTCCCCATTGTGGGAGGGGCAGAGACACCAACTACTGTGGGAAATCTCAGATGTATAAAGCCATTTAGATGTAACCTTTTAGTCTCTGACTGAATCAATGTACTATTTCATGAAGCTTCCCTGTAAGATTGATATATTTGTGCAGATCTGTGTAGATTTCCATGTACAGATGGCTACACTGGGGATGGTGGGCTTCCTGAGGGATTTGCGTAGAGATGTCTAGCTGGCAGCTGTGAGTAATCCGTACCCCGATTGGTTGCTCTGGGCTATTGCATATCATCCTTTTGGTTTTGCGCTGCTATGCCGTCTAATTAGCCTGGCAGTTGCTGCTACACACATAAGGTGACACAGGGCGAGCCGGTCCCCTGCCGCGGGTGACTCACAGCTCTCAGCCTGGCGCAGTGGGGTGATCACTGGGCTCCTGGTGGCCTCATATGACTCTTTCTTTCCCTGCAGGCAGTATGAGACGGTGGTTCCGGTGGAAGACCCCCTGGTCACAGAGGTGACGTCAACACTGCAAGAATGGGCCTCGCTATGGAAGCAGCTCTATGTGGTAAGTCAGTGGCCCCCGGGGGGAGGGGCATTGCAGGGGCCCCATGCACAGCCATTCCCACAATGCTATCTGCCTTCTCTCCGTCTACTGATCACATCCCAGACACGAGGGCTTCATTGTTTTCCTGGCACTTTAAACCCAGCAGCTGTTGCTGTAGTAACGTGTGTTCTGTTCATTGCAAACCCACACATTGTACTGCAGAAAGTCAGAGTCTTCCAATGTATAGACACAGAGACTTCCAGTGTATAGACCCGGAGCCATCCAATGTATAGACCCGGAGCCATCCAATGTATAGACACGGAGCCTTCCAATGTATAGACACAGAGCCTTCCAATGTATAGACCCAGAGCCTTCCAATGTATAGACCCGGAGCCATCCAATGTATAGACACGGAGCCTTCCAATGTATAGACACAGAGCCTTCCAATGTATAGACACAGAGCCTTCCAGTGTATAGACCCAGAGCCTTCCAGTGTATAGACCCGACGATCCAATGTACAGACACAGAGCCTTCCAATGTATAGACACAGATCCAATGTACAGACACAGAGCCTTCCAATGTATAGACACAGAGCCTTCCAAATGTATAGACACAGAGCCTTCCAATGTATAGACACAGAGCCTTCCAATGTATAGACCCAGAGCCTTCCAATGTATAGACACAGAGCCTTCCAATGTATAGACACAGAGCCTTCCAATGTATAGACACAGAGCCTTCCAATGTATAGACACAGAGCCTTCCAATGTATAGACACAGAGCCTTCCAATGTATAGACCAGAGCCTTCCAATGTATAGACACAGAGCCTTCCAGTATATACCCGGAGCTTCCAATGTATAGGCACAGAGCCTTCCAATGTATAGACAAAGAGCCTTCCAGTATATAGACCCAGAGCCTTCCAATGTATAGACACAGAGCCTTCCAATGTATAGACCCGGAGCCTTCCAATGTATAGACCCGGACCCATCCAATGTATAGACACAGAGCCTTCCAATGTATAGACCCGGAGCCTATTCCAATGTATACAAGAGAGCCTTCCAGTATGTAGACCCTGAGCTGCAAATGTGTATAGAAACAGAGCCTTCCAGTGTATAGACCCGGACCCATCCAATGTATAGCCACAGAGCCTTCCAATGTATAGACCCGGAGCCTTCCAATGTATAGACCCGGAGCCTTCCAATGTATAGACACAGAGCCTTCCAATGTATAGACACAGAGCCTTCCAATGTATAGACACAGAGCCTTCCAGTATATAGACACGGACCCATCCAATGTATAGACACAGAGCCTTCCAGTATATAGACCCGGAGCCTTCCAATGTATAGACACAGAGCCTTCCAGTATATAGACCCAGAGCCTTCCAATGTATAGACACAGAGCCTTCCAGTATATAGACCCGGAGCCTTCCAATGTATAGACCCGGAGCCTTCCAATGTATAGACCAGCCTTCCAATGTATAGACCCGGAGCCTTCCAATGTATAGACCCGGAGCCTTCCAATGTATAGACCCGGAGCCTTCCAATATATAGACCCGGAGCCCTTCCAATGTATAGACACAGAGCCTTCCAATGTATAGACCACAGAGCCTTCCAATGTATAGACACAGAGCCTTCCAATGTATAGACACAGAGCCTTCCAGTATATAGACACAGAGCCTTCCAGTATATAGACACAGCCTTCCAGTATATAGACACAGAGCCTTCCAGTATATAGACACAGAGCCTTCCAGTATATAGACACAGAGCCTTCCAGTATATAGACACAGAGCCTTCCAGTATATATTCCAGTATATAGACACAGAGCCTTCCAGTATATAGACACAGAGCCTTCCAGTATATAGACACAGAGCCTTCCAGTATATAGACACAGAGCCTTCCAGTATATAGACACAGAGCCTTCCAGTATATAGACCAGAGCCTTCCACACAGTTCCAGTATATAGACACAGAGCCTTCCAGTATATAGACACAGAGCCTTCCAATGTATAGACACAAAACCTTCCAGTGTATAGACCCGGAGACTTCCAATGTATAGACCCGGAGCCTTCTAATGTATAGACCCGATGCCTTCCATGAGCCTTCCAATGTATAGACCTAAAGCCTTCCAATGTATAGACACAGAGCCTTCCAGTATATAGACACAGAGCCTTCCAATGAGACCCAGAGCTGTAACATATAGACACAAAGCCTTCCAATGTATAGACACAGAGCCTTCCAGTATATAGACACAGAGCCTTCCAGTATTTAGACACAGAGCCTTCCAATGTTAGACACAGAGCCTTCCAGTATTTAGACACAGAGCCTTCCAATGTTTAGACACAGAGCCTTCCAGTATTTAGACACAGAGCCTTCCAATGTATATAGACACAGAGCCTTCCAGTATATAGACACAGAGCCTTCCAGTGTATAGACACAGAGCCTTCCAGTGTATAGACACAGAGCCTTCCAATGTATAGACACAGAGCCTTCCAGTATATAGACACAGAGCCTTCCAATGTGTAGACACAGAGCCTTCCAGTGTATAGACACAGAGCCTTCCAGTGTATAGACACAGAGCCTTCCAGTGTATAGACACAGAGCCTTCCAGTGTATAGACACAGAGCCTTCCAGTGTATAGACACAGAGCCTTCCAGTGTATAGACACAGAGCCTTCACAGAGCCTTCCAGTGTATACACAGAGCCTTCCAGTGTATAGACACAGAGCCTTCCAGTGTATAGACACAGAGCCTTCCAATGTGTAGACACAGAGCCTTCCAGTGTATAGACCCGGACCCATCCAATGTATAGACCCGGAGCCTTCCAATGTATAGACAAAGAGCCTTCCAGTGTATAGACACAGAGCCTTCCAATGTATAGACACAGAGCCTTCCAGTATATAGACACAGAGCCTCCCAATGTGTAGACACAGAGCCTCCCAATGTATAGACACAGAGCCTCCCAATGTATAGACACAGAGCCTCCCAATGTATAGACACAGAGCCTCCCAATGTATAGACACAGAGCCTCCCAATGTATAGACACAGAGCCTCCCAATGTATAGACACAGAGCCTCCCAATGTATAGACCCAGAGCCTCCCAATGTATAGACACAGAGCCTCCCAATGTATAGACACAGAGCCTCCCAATGTATAGACACAGAGCCTCCCAATGTATAGACACAGAGCCTTCCAATGTATAGACACAAAACCTTCCAGTGTATAGACCCAGACCCATCCAATCTCTAGACACGGAGCCTTCCAATGTATAGACCCAGAGCCTTCCAATGTATAGACCATGAGCCTTCCAATGTATAGACCATGAGCCTGCCAATGTGTAGACACAGAGCCTTCCAATGTGTAGACACAGAGCCTTCCAATGTGTAGGCACAGAGCCTTCCAATGTGTAGACACAGAGCCTTCCAATGTGTAGACACAGAGCCTTCCAATGTGTAGACACAGAGCCTTCCAATGTGTAGACACAGAGCCTTCCAATGTGTGTAGACACAGAGCCTTCCAATGTGTAGACACAGAGCCTTCCAATGTGTAGACACAGAGATGCAACATGTAGACATCCCAGCTTATTCAATGAGAGGATAATGGACAGAAACAAAGAGGATCCAACCAAATCATCTTACAGCATCCAGACTTGATGGAGCTTAAATGTGATTAGAGGGTAACTGACCTTTACAAACAACGACTGCCATTTACACTGCTTTATTGAATAAGCCCATCAGAGATATCATAGCGTATAAATAACACAAGCAGAGTGCAGTGTAGTGTCAGAGAATTGCAAGCAGCATTGATATTCCTGATAAGTATGATGATGCAACCTATCCATTCACTAGAGAGCGGTGACATCACTGAGAATGCAGCCTATCCCTTCACTAGAGAGCGGTGACATCACTGAAAATGCAGCCTATCCCTTCACTAGAGAGTGGTGACATCACTGAGAATGCAGCCTATCCGTTCACTAGAGAGCGATGACGTCACTGAAAATGCAGCCTATCCATTCACTAGAGAGCGGTGACATCACTGAGAATGCAGCCTATCCCTTCATTAGAGAGTGGTGCCATCACCGATAATACAACCTATCCATTCACTAGAGGGCGGTGACATCACTTAGAATGCAGCCTATCCATTCACTAGAGAGCGGTGACATCACCGAGAACGCAGCCTATCCGTTCACTAGAGAGCGGTGACGTCACTGAGAATGCAGCCTATCCATTCACTAGAGGGCGGTGACATCACTGAGAACGCAGCCTATCCATTCACTAGACAGCGGTGACATCACTGAGAACGCAGCCTATCCCTTCACTAGAGTGCAGTGACATCACAGAGAATGCAGCCTATCCATTCACTAGAGAGCAGTGACATCACTTAGAACGCACCCTATCCATTCACTAGAGAGCGGTGACATCACTGAGAATGCAGCCTATCCCTTCATTAGAGAGCGGTGACATCACTGAGAACGCAGCCTATCCAGTCACTATAGAGTGGTGACATCACTGAGAACACAGCCTATCCAATCACTAGAGAGCGGTGACATCACTGAGAACGCAGCCTTTGTATTTGTAAGGTCCATTCATCTGGTACATATTCTTTTATGAAAGTCATGGTTTTCACTTTAACTGGAGAGCAAAGAAGTCTCACTTCTAGAGCCGCAATTTGTATAATATTGTTCACGGACTTGTATTTCAGCCTTTCTCTTCAAGCTGCTGTGAGTAACTGGATTTTTTGGCCTATATTGTTTTTCACATTTATGTTTGTATTGCACTTTATGTACTTCTAGTTGCTGATGTTTCTTTTTACAAATAAGTTTTCCAAAAAAAGTGGATCCGTTATTCTCCGATCTTTCTGCATTCATCAATGGCGACTCCAGTACAAGACCCTACTAATGATAGCGGCTTTTAGGAAACAATACCGATGGCGTGAGCGCAGAAAGAGCCTTTAACACTCGGCTGGTGCCATCAATCAATGTCTGTTCTGGTGTGAAGCTGTTCTGTCTGTTTGTGTGTGTCTTTGTGTG